CTAATCCAACTAAGAGAGTCTTTTTTTCTTTTTCTTTTTTTATTAATAGTATAACTGTGTGTCTATAACATGGTTTTTAAAATTAAAAAAATAGTATAGCTAGACGGCTATACATTTTTAACACGTGCGCTCCTAGGCGCTATGCGGGTCCCCATTTTTTTGGAAAAATAAATATCTATACTCGGTTTTTCCAAATATGTTATAAATAAATAGTATAGCCGGGGGGCTATACGCGGTTAATTATCTTTTAAAAGAAATAGTATAGTGGCCCAGCTATACTCTGTTTTTCTAGTTTTTTTTTAAAAGAAATAGTATAGCCGCCCAACTTTACTCATCTCTTTTTTTTAAAAAAATTTCTTAATGAATAGTATATATGAGCGGCTATAATCTTTATATATATATACTGGGATCCTCTTTTTCTTTTTCTTTTTTTTTCCTGATTTTCGTTTATCTATAAGAATAGTTTAGAGCATTATTTATTACTGTTACGCCATTACACGAGTCCTTATTGTCCTCTTTTGATTTTTCACTTTTCTAGAGTTATTACCCCTAAGAATCACGTTTAATACTGTATTATACACATACGTACCTATTTTTCAAAAATGCATCCGTATTTTGTATACGTCTTAAAGACTCGATAAAATTCACATTTTTTTTAAAAAGCAAACGTACAATACTCTTATTGAACAAGTACATACATATTTTAACAGTACATCTGTGCGTGCCACACTCCTTAAATTTTGAATATTTTAACAAAAATAAAAAATAAAGTCCACAAAATAATTTTAAATAATTAATTGATATTTATTAAGTAATTTATGAAATTAATCAAACATCTTAGCTAAATCCAGCCTCAAACCTTTCTCAAGCCTCAGAACCTAACCACAAGACTACTATAGGGCATTTATGCTATTTGCAATTCAAGATTAGCCTGCATATATGAACTCTTTGTTATAGAAATCTTTCACGTTAAACCCATCTGCAATGGACTCTTGTTCTTAAATAAAAGGTTGATAGTATGGCATTTTGGCATTTTGTTTAAGAGGTAGTAAACCCATAAAGATGCCTGTCGCAAACAAGAAGATATTGACTTGGCGAAGAAATCATTTTAAAGAAAAAAATGAGTACCTACATCTCTCTTCTTGGACATAGCCTATTTGAGTGAACTACATACGTATTGAACAAGTAGATACGTATTTTAACAGTACATCCGCACGACTATACTCTTTAAATTTCGAATATTAAAAAAAAATAAAAAATAAAGTCCACAAAATAATTTTAATTAATTAATTAATATTTATTAAGTAATTTATGAAATCCATAAAATATCTTAGCTTTTTTAATTACTTTAATTAGTAATTATGTTTTAAGTATTATTTCTTTAATGAATATTTGCAATTAAGTAATATCTTAGCCTTATTTAATTATATTAATTATTAATTATATTTTAATTACTTTTATTTAATGAATAATTAGTATTTAATTATTTTAATCAATTTCATAAATTACTTATAAATACTAATTAATTATATTTACTGGTCTTAAATAATTTTGTGGACTTTAAAATTAATTTAATTTCTGAATATATTTTAAAAATAGTTTCAATTGTTAAAATATAATTTTAGTATTTCGAAAATGGATTTGAGCCTCTAAACGCTAAATCCAACCTTAAACCTTTCTGAATCCTCGAAACCTTACCACAAGACTACTATGGGGCACTTATGACTATTATAGGGCATTATGTTATTTGCAATTCAAGATTAATCTGCATATATAAACTCTTCATCATAGAAATCTTTCACATAAACCCATCTGCAATGGACTCTTGTTCTTAAATAAAAGGGTGATATGTAGGGCATTTTGGCATTTAGTTTAAGAGGTAGCAAACCCATAAAGATTAGCGTCACAAACAAGAAGATATTGACTTGGCGAAAAAATCATTTTAAAGAAAAAACGAGTTCCTACATCTCTCTCCATGGACATAGCCTATTCAAGTGAACTACATACCTCCATCAACACCTGTCGAAGGCCTTAGCCTACCAAACACACACACCCTAAGGCCCTCACCTTCCATCTTATTAGAATTCATAGCTTCTGGTATTTAGTTTTATGAAGATTTTGAGTGTTTGGAAATAAGGAAAGTTGCAGAGAAAATGCAACTATGGTGCTGCGAAAATAATGAAGGTTCTGATATTCATTTCACACTCCACTATTCAAATATAACCGTTAGGAGAGAGAGAGAGAGAGAAGTGAGATGCTTGTCTAATAGATTTACACCAAGATTAAATCCTAGTCTTTGATCCTATCATCCTATGAGATGATTCCACTTGTCATAATCTAACACTTATATCCTAGGCTAGAGAAGAGACCACTTGGACTATGGCTCAGATTACATCAGGAAATTAAATCTTATAAAATGAAAACTAGCTCAAGGGTTACACATCAACACTCCCTTTTAGCTGATTTCACACCAAGCAGTCCTCTTAGGCAAGCAAATCAATCCTTTGACAAGGCCTTGGTTAATATATCTGCAATCTGATCTTCCGTTTTGCAGTAAACAAGTTCGATCTCTTTTGCTTGAATGGCTTCTTTGATGAAATGAAACTTTCGACTGATGTGCCTAGTTTTATGGTGAAGAACTGGATTCTTTGCCATTGCTATGGCAGAGGTGTTATCACATAGAATTTGTGTGCCTTCCACTTGCTCCTCTCCAAAATCTTCAAACCCAAACCTTAGCCATTTAGCCTGTGATGTTGCTTCTGCAACATTAACATATTCTACTTTTGCAGTGAACAATGCCATAGTGTTTTGTTTGATCGATGCCCACGAAAACATACCAGATCCTAGTGCAAATGCATATCCTGAAGTGCTTCTCATGTCATCCTCACTTCCTGCCCAGTCACTGTCACAGTACCCTAAATCTAGCAAGTAAGCTAGAAGCAAACATTATATCCGGCCTTGTAGCAGTCAAGTGTAGCAGCTACCTACAACCTGTCTATATTCACTCTCATTTACTGCTTCACTGCCACATACCTTGCATAGCTTCTCATTCACAGCTAGTGGTGTTGCCACAAATTTGCAATCTTTCATTCCAAATTTCTCAATGAGCTTCATTGCATATTTCCTCTGGTGAATAAAAATGGTTTTATCTGTTTGTACTACCCCCATGCTAAGGAAATGATGAAGTAACCCCAAATTAGTCATCTCATAATGCTGCATCATATCATTCTTGAACTCTTCAAGTAGTTTTGGACAACTTCCAGTGTCTACAATATTCCATATAAAGTGAAACAATAATGATACCTGAAGCTTCACTGGGTTTGACATAAAGTGTTGCTTCACTAGAGCTCTTCTTGAAATTTGCCTTGCTGAAATAGGAATCTATCTCATCATACCAGGCTCTTGGAGCTTGCTTCAGCCCAAACAAAGTCTTGTTCAACTTATACACCTTGGTTTCTTCATTTTTCTTCACAAATCCTTGTGGCTGCTCAACATAAACTTCTTCCTTAAAACTCCATTCAGAAAAGCAAACTTTACATCCAATTGATATAAGTTCCATTCCTTCTGTGCAGCAAGCGCTATCAAGGTCCTAATAGTGTCCAACCTTGCTACTGGAGCAAATGTTTCATTGTAGTCTATTCCAGGTTTTTTGGGAATAGCCTTTTGCCACTAGTCTGGCTTTGTTTTTCTGCACAGATCCATCAAGATTCAGCTTGGTTTTATAGACCCACTTAACACCAATGATTGGCTTGTCAAATGGTCTGTCAACTAGCTCCCATGTGTTGTTTTTCTCAATCATTTCCAGCTCAGATTTCATTGCATTTTCATGACTCATCTAGAGCAGCTTCTTCATAGCTCTTAGGTTCTACAATGCACATGTTACACTGAGTCATGATCTCATTGATGCTTCTCCATTTATGTGGTGTGTGATCAATTGCTTGAGAGCTTTCAACCATATCCTCACTCTGTGGTGTAGTGTAATAACTTCATCCACTTGAGTTGATGTATCCAAGGATTGACTTGGTTCACAGACTTCAAATTGCTTATGTCCTTCACTGCAGTTTGCCATTTGATTCTCAGCAAACATTGGGACTCTCATTTCACTTTTATCAGTGTTCTCCCACTTCCATGAAGCATTCTCATCAAAGAGTACATCTCTGGACAAGATGATCTTTCTGGAACTTGGATCAAACACCCTGTACCCTTTTTCACAGAGTCCATAACCCACAAAGATACATTTGTAACTGTTTTCTTCAAGCTTATGCCTTAGTGTTGAAGGGACGTGCACATAGCATAGTGATCCAAAAATCTTCAGATGTGCAATACCTGGGTTTCTGCCAATGTATGCTTCAAATGGAGTTACTTTCTTGAAAGACTTGGAAGGACATCTATTAAGTATGTAGACTGCAATGTTCACAGCCTCTGCCCAAAACTTGTAAAGAAGACCATTTTCATGCAACATGGACTTTGCCATTTCCATCACCGTTCGTTCTATTCTTCCTCTTAGCCACTCTATTCTGTTGAGGAGAATATGCCATAGTTAACTGTCTTTGGATCCCAAGTTCATTGCAATACTTGTTAAATTCATTTGACAGAAATTCTCCACCCCTATCACTCTTTAAGCCTTTCACCATATATCCACATTGTCGTTCAGTCATAGCTTTGAACTTCTTGAAACATTCAAATGCATTTGACTTGTTCCTGAAAAAGTATACCCATGTCATTCTGGTGCAATCGTCTGTGAATAACAGAAAGTATCTATTTCTTGAGATAGATTCAATTTGCATTGGTCCACAGATGTCTGTGTGAACCAATTCCAATGGAAATTTAGCTCTCCAAGTAGATTCTGATGGAAAAGAATCTCTATGTTGCTTTCCTAGTATGCAACCTTCACACACAACATAAGTTTTCTCTAAATGAGGCAACCCATGAACCATTTCTTGATCTTCAAGCAGTTTGATGCTTCTGTCATTAAGATGCCTCAATCTCTTGTGCCATATCTACAGGTAGTGTGTCACATTTGCCTTCAAGGCCAACTGATTTGCAGGCATTATTGTAAGAGGAAAGAACCTGTTGTTTGTCATCTGAACTCTAATAACAAGATTGTTCAGTGACCAACCATCGAAGATGTTTACTACATTTCCTCCAAACATCAGATAGTACCCGTGATCCACCATCTGTCCAACACTAAGAAAATTCTCTTTAAGTCCAGGAACAAGCATCACTTCTTGAATGTGCTTCATTCCCAATTTGGTCTCCATCACAAGAGTTCCTTTTCCTGCAACATGAACAATTTCTCCAGTTCCCATCTTCACCTTGGAAGTCAGGTTCCTTTGAATGTTAACTAGTAACCTTTCATCACCTGTCATGTGGTTACTACAACCACTATCAATGTTCCATGAATGGTCACATTTGTCACATCATTACATGCATAGAACAAAGTACTAGTTTCTTCAACCTGGTTTGCATAGTTCACCTTCTGTATAGTTTTATTTCCATTGCAGTCTCTGAGCACATGCCCAAACTTCCCACAACCTGTGCATTTAGGCTTCCCTTCAAACCAACAATTGCCATAATGCAGTTTATCACAGTGTTTACAAGCTGTTTTGTTTCCATCATTGAAGACATTTGGTTTGGAATTAGAATTAGGCTTATCATCTCATTTCTTTCCTTTGGATTTCCAGTTTTTCTGAGATTTTTGATTTCCAGAATTACGTCCACCCGTAGGATTTTTACCTCCAACGTTTAGACTAGCAAAAGCCCTTTCTGTGGAGTCTTTAGCATGTCTATCTAATCTGAGCTCAAAGCTTTTTAAAAAAGCAACTACCTTTTGAACCTCGAGAGTTTCAAGGTCCTTAGAGTGTTCAATCATAGAGCAAATAGGGTCATATGATCTAGGCAAACTAATCAACAATTTTTGCACAACTTTTTCCCTAGACAGATCTTCACCATAACTCTTCATTTGATTCATTATATCGAACAGTCTAGCAAGGTATACGAATAAGGACTCACTATCTTTCATACGAGTCTATTCAAATTCGCGACACAAACCTTGTAATTTTATGCTCCTTACTTGCTTATCTCCTCTGAACTCTTGCTTCAGAATGTCCCAAGCATCCTTTGAGATCTTCTCATTCACAATTCTGGGGAAGATTTGATCTGAGACGGCACCTTAGATCAACCTAAGTGCGCGAGCATCCTTCATCAGAATTTCAGCCATCGTAAGCTTCTCCACTTCAGCAACCTCACTCTCTTCTATCTTCTTCTTCTCCTTCTTTGGATCTGAAGAATCGAAACCATTTTCAACAAGATCCCACAACCCATGAGATTTCAGAATGGTTTTCATCCGAATACTCCAGAACTAATAATTTTCTCTATTGAAAATTGGCGTGCAAAGCTTAGCAGTGCCCGATCCTGCGATATTAGACATTGGATTCAAGAAATCACAGCACCTTGATCGTCGAATGAGCTCGATCACAGCTCGAATCGATTCAAATTCTCTGTTCACAGATTCACGCCCAGTTTAGGCAACCGAACCTGGCTCTGAGGCCATGTTAGAATTCATAGCTTTCGGTATTTAGTTTCATGAAGATTTTGAGTGTTTGGAAAGAAGGAAAGTTGTAGAGAAAATGCAACTATGGTGCTGCGAAAATAATGAAGGTTTTGATATTCATTTCACACTCCACTATTCAAATATAACTGTTAGGAGAAAGAGAAGTGAGATGCTTCTCTAACAGATTTACACCAAGATTAAATCCTAGCCTTTGATCCTATCATCCTATGAGATGATTCCACTTGTCATAATCTAACACTTAGATCCTAGGCTAGAGAAGAGACCACTTGGACTATGATCCAATGTCTCAGATTACATCAGGAAATTAAATCTTATAAAATGAAAACTAGCTCAAGGGTTACATATCAACACATCTAACCTTGCTAAAGGACCTCAGTGCCCGGAAGACATCAAGTTGATTCAATTTTTGTCATTGGCAATTTGACATCCTCTATGAAAATCAAACACAAGAAATCTTGGTTGTTCCCCCATTTCCTTATGCCAATATGCCCTCTATACTTACCTTTGTAGTCGATCAATCATATATGTGTTTAAAGCTATTGATCAATGATTCATAGCTCTTCAACCCGGCCCTATAGGTCGTAGCAATTTTAGCAAAGCCCTGCTGAGTATTTTATATATATCAGGAGATCATAGCACTAATTAATACATAAGCACTCACTTGGTCTAGAACTTAATTAATCTGCAATTCAAAACGAACTAAAGTCACTTCTCATCAATCGCATTAGATATGGATGATTGCAGTCTAAGTCACTGCTCACATGCCCCACCCATCTTTTCAGAAAAGGAAAAAGTTGGTGTTAATAATACGTTATAAATATATAAGCCTAAAGTAGAACTTTAGCTCACGCCTAACTTTAATTCCATGTGCTACAAGAATATCTGGTTTTGTCCTTACATATATGAATCTGAAATTTATCAAACAAATGGTACAGAATATCAGTTAGATATGGTACAAATAATAACACATTAGAATCAATTGTTGTTGTTCTTGGAGTATTCCAATTAGATGGAATTATTCTCATCAATAATCTCCTCAATTGTGATGCCAAAGTTCTCACCACCGCCAAGGTCGAGGTATACTAGTTGCACACCGCAGGCTTTCAATAATATTGGTTCGGAGGGAAGAAATCTAACTTCACACTTGTACATGATCTCCTCTTCATTCCAGTAACGCTTCCAGTGCCTCATATTAGATAATGAAATATATTGCAGCCACACATGATCTGACCCTGGCGATATAATGTGTTCATGAAATGAAAATATTTCATCACCATTGATGAAGACTCTGACATGAAATCCGTATCTCTCGTAATCGTCATAATCGTAAGGGAGTGTGTAATCTATGGTTCCGAAAACAGCGGAAAAAGCCAATCTTGTGTTCTTCCCGGTGAAATTTGGAGGAAATTTAATGTTGAAGTCACAATAATTAGGATCAGCTGGCTGTTTCCGGTGGCCGAACCACTTTGGAATGTCGTTTCCGGGAAGTATAATGCTGAACTCATAGCACTCGCCGTCCGAAGGTACGTGCTGCTGTAAGGTGCATGACAATATTTAATTAGTCATCATGATGTATTCTATTAAGAGTAATGTTACTTGTTGTATAATCTTAACTGATCATCTAGTATATCGTTTCTCGACTGTAGATATGATATGTTTACTTATGAATGTGAATCTTACATCGGATATAGATGATACATTAGATACATATGTGAGACTATAGATATACATTCTAAACGTGAACTCAAATCTAGATACAACGCACCACATGTCACCTGCGCCTCCTCGATATATCCTGGGAGACAACACATTTGACATGTGGTGAATTTAATCTAATTAAATCAGGTTGACTTCTAACAATACAATTAATGGTAGATGTATATGAGACAGCTCAGAGCGAGAAAGACAAGAACCTGGTGAGTTTGAGAATGGCTAAGTAAGATGGATGCCATCTTTTCCACATCAAGGTCAAGACTCTTAAGCAGTTTGTGGCAGTTAGACAAGTCGCTATACTGAAGAGATCCCTGTGAGTTGTGTTCCAAAATGTTGGAAAGTTTTGAAAATCTTTCCAAAGATTTGCAGCCACCTGTGTTTACTCCTTTTATGCATGGAGAAAGCTGAGGAATTTCTTGAAGCTTCTTGCAATCACGCAATATAAGCCACTCCAAGCTACCAAATGTGCTGGTCCATTCAGGAAGGCTAACAAAACTGCTACCAGATAAATCTAGAAAAGTCAATGTGGACCCACAATTGAATGGCATAAGGAATTCACATTCTGATAAGTTGCAATCTCCGACTCGTAGAAACCTTAGCCTTGGAAACACCAATGAGTTTTGGTAATCATGAGAAACGCTTGATGGATTTTCAGGGTTCACCTTCATGGGAAATGCTAAAAGTTTGGGGCAGCCTCTAACTTCAAGTTCTTGAAGATTTTTCAACTTATAAATGCTGCTCGGAAGATTTCTAAGGTTTTCACAACACTCTAAAGTAATGTTCTCTAAGACCATCGTCCCAGCTTCAATTTCCGGAAAACTCTCCAGCATTCTGCAACCTTTCATGTTAAGAATTTTCAGTGATTTCAAGCCAATTCTTGTTGGAAACCTTGTAAGGCTTGAGCAGTTTTGCAGACTCAGAGACACAAGCTTTTCAAGGAACCCAACAGACTCGTGAATCCCAACTAAACTGGTACATTCTCTAAGAAACAATTTCTCCAAGTTTGGGAATCCTGTGAAGTCGGGTATTTCTTCTAGCTTGTCGCACCCAGAGAAGTCCATAGATGTCAATGTTCCCAGTTTCTATAGAAAAGAAAAAAAGAAAAAGGACAACTAGCTGATAAAAAGAAAAAATATAACAATATGAGAAATGCAACATAAGATGTCATCACACTGTGAATTAGGACTGCTGATCATGTTATCCAAATTCACAACTTGGCAATACAAGTCTGATAAAAAAAAATTTAGCTTAGTATTCACTCAGAGAAATTAGAAAATCTTCAAAATCCATTATGTTACCGTAGAACCTTGCCCGAACCGCGTTATGTTACTTGAAGGCATCTTTAGGGCAACAAGTTTCTTTGGATGAAAATTGGATGGTAGGGACTGTAAAGGATATCTGTACCAATTTAGCAGCCTTAACTCGTTGGGCAGATCAACATTTCCAGTGAGGCTTGCATTAAGATTTATTAAATATCTGAGATTTTTCATCCTTGAGAAGGCTTCAGCACTCATGGAGACGTCATTCTTTTTGGGCATATTTATCAGTATGCCTCTAACTTTAGTTGAACCCTATAGCAGAAAGTCCAAAAAAATTAGTTAGTTATAAAAGCCACCAACATATTGTTGTAATTGATATGGATAAAAACATGTTCATCAATACCAAATTAAAAAAGATATTTGACTTACTGTTTGTTCTGTTAGAACATGGTAGACATCCTCGTGAAACCACAACCTACTACGTTCACCTGGTTCTGTAGGCGATTCTTGACGAACGATTTCCTTGCCCATATCTTCAAGTAAGTCATGCATGGTTAACATATTGTGCTCATTAACAACTAAGAGAGACTTATCTATGAGTACTCTAATGCTAATTATGGGGAATAAGTCACAACTTCTCAGTATATCCACGATTTGATCTTTATCTTCTCCTTTGAAAAAACATGCAATGTCAAGGAAAACCTCCTTCTGAAAATGCTCTAATCCATTAAAACTAATCTTGAGTATTTCTTGGATTTCTTTGTTAGGAATTATTTCGTAACTGTCTAATGCATCTTTCCACTCTTCTATGCTTCTGCCACAAAGATGAGAACCTAACACCGTCAAAGCTAACGGAAGGCCTTTTGTGTAGCACACAGCACGCCCAACAAGCTTCAGGTAATCATTTGGAGGCTTGTCTCTCTTAAAGGAGTTCCAACTGAAGAGCTCAGAAGACTCATAGAAATCTAGTTCCTTGACCTTGTATGTTAAATTAACTCCATGAGCAGTTAACAAGTGTTTGTCTCTTGTTGTTACGATAATTCTGCTACCTCGACCAAACCAATTGGATCCTCCTGCTAAGTTATCTAACTGGTGTCGATGATCCACATCATCAAGAACTAAAAGCACCCTTCTATTCCGAAGTCTCGTCTCGATCGTATTAGCTCCTTGATCAACACTTGTCACCTTGAATTTTCTGTTGCCCCCCAAAATATCAGAAAGAAGAGTTTTTTGCAATTCGACCAAGCCATGTGGCATTGACGACATTTCTCTCACATTTGCCAAAAAACAATTTCCTTCGAATTTATGGGCAATAGAGCCGTAAACAGCTTTGGCAATTGTTGTCTTGCCTATCCCACCAAGTCCCCATATCCCAATCATTCGAACATCATTTTCCCCAAGACTTAGAAGCTCATCCATATCTCGTACGCGAGATTCTAACCCTACCGGATACTTAGCAACTTTCAAGTATGTACGATTTGATGTTTGAAGGGAGATCTCTTCCACAATATTGTGGATAAACTTAGATTCATGCCTGCCAAATCAAAAATTAAGGAAGAATAAATGAGTTGGGGATTTCTCTATTCGTTAAAATACAAAAGAGAGAAAGAAGCTGAGAGCCGAAAAACAAAAAGAAAGAAAAATGATATGAAGTACATTTTCAAAATCAAATGGGTGAGAACTGAATCTATATATATAAAGCAAAAGGCAGATAATGGTGAAACATTCAAAAATACCAGAAAATACCTTTTGTTAATTCAAATATTAAGAATTGAAATTATTAATTAAATTAGGATAATA